TCCCCCCCCCCCCCTCCTCTCAGAGCAGTGCTACTGACTGAAGTGTCTTTAGGCCATTCCCAAATGGGGGATATTAACACGTTCTTATGCACAGTAGAATTGTAAATGGGCTGATTTATCAATGTCATGCTAATACTGTGCCGGAACAACAAAGGGGGAACTGCTGCTTTTCTTTCCTCGTCCTTACTATCGTCATTTTACCCCTACTTCTTTTGCGTGTTTGTCACTCTCTTGTGAAGTGCTATTTTTGGGGTGCCTTGATAGATCTTTCGCTGTCTATTGCCGGGTACCCATTCTCCCGTGAGGGAAGTGAGGAAAATTCGTGAAAAGTGCCTTTCCCAAGGACACAACCTCGGGCCCACGGCTCGAACACCCAGACCTGCAACCTCAGGATTATGAGTCCGATAGCCTAACCACTAGGCCACCGAGGCCACCGACATCATCTTTATTTTACTTAAGATTACATGAGATTTTCAATTCAAGAGTTGTGTTTTTCTTTTAGTGCCTTTTGAAACTTTTGATTTCTTGTGTACTAATCTCAAGTTATTTCTTCCTCTCCCCCTTTCTCCTTCCCACTCTCCCTCTCTCTTCCTCCTCCCTCCTCATTCCTCATTCCTCCATCTCCCTCTTCCCTTATCCTTTCTTCCATCATCTTCCCCTCTGTCCTCTCTTCATCCCCCCTCCCCTCTTCTCTCCGCCCACTCACCTCTCCTTCCCCCTCCTTCCTTTCCCCTCCTCCTCTCTCCTCCTTCCCCCTCCTCCTCTCTCCTCCCATACCTCCGTCCTTCTCCTCCCCTCTTCGTTCCTCCCTTATCTCTGCCCCCCTCCCTTTCCTCCCCTCCCACGTTCTCCCTCACAGGGTTATGCTCCGTTGTTTCTGATGGCGACCTCTGGCTCCACTGTTCTGGGCTCCTTTGATGACCTCACTGCTCTGAGCAAAGTGTGTCGGCAGCACGGGATCTGGCTGCATGCGGATGTGAGTTTGTGGAAAAGGTTTTTTAAAGATAGCAGCTGGAGTTTTATGTGGGTGGTTGGTGGGTGCTCTGGGGTGGCTGGCTCCTTCTATCCTGTCAAACATCTATCGTCCTAATCTCCCCCCTCCCCCTCCCCCTTTTTTTGTGTTTGTTGCTCCTCTGTAACACCTCTAATCTTCAGCACTTACATGACGTTATTGTGTTGCACATGCCGTACAGCTCTTACCTGTGCCCGTGGTTTTATGCACCCCGCATAAATTTATCAAAATTTGATCGTTATTTGCATAATTTCTGATTATATTCCTTAATAATTCTTTTTTTAAATTAACAGAATTGCATAATTTAACATTTTTGGGCTCAGTTTGCATAATTTCAGAATTTGTCTTGCATAAAACGACGGGGACAGTCTTACTATAAAAACTGAAGGAGTTTTATTTCAAAAGACAGCCTGGTAAAATGTTCAGGAGAGCCAAAAACACAAATCTTTGCCCCTCAACAGCCTGTTGCTTTTGAATATCTCCAAAACACTTTCCCCAATTTGTTTATTAAGATAAATATCTTTGAAACTCTTGATTTCTTGTGTACTAATCTCAAGTTATTTCTTCCTCTCCCCCTTTCTCCTTCCCACTCTCCCTCTCTCTTCCTCCTCCCTCCTCATTCCTCCATCTCCCTCTTCCCTTATCCTTCCTTCCAGACTAAGGCAGAAATATGCACTATGTTGTAAACTGTCAGATGAAATGGATAAATGAATTACATCCAAAACTGGATATACTGTCTTTTAGAATAAAACTCCAGGCTGTTAATTAAATGACTTTATTAATCTTGGGGGGAGTTTTTGTACTATCATACACAGAGCATTCAATAAGTAATGCAATAACACTCTCAGACGGGTGAAAGTAAAGTATAACAGACAGACAGACAGTTGATCAAACTCCTGCTCCTTTTAAAGTTTAGGAGGGAAGGAGAGAGAGAAACGCTCATGCATGCACACACGCAGGCACGCACACACACACACACACGCACACACACATGCACGCACACACTCGCACACACTAACATACACTAACACTCAAACAGGGACATTCATTTAATATAATATTTTAATAAGTACATGTTGAGTGGAGTCCACTTAAACTGTAGCCTACATGGTTGGTTCATCATTGATCCGAAAACAGTGGTAAACCAAATTCACATAATTCCCCCCCACCCCTCCCCCACCTTTTTTTTTTCTTCATTTGAGCAGCCTCTGCAACATAAATCTAGTTTTGCCTTGGTTTCTAAACATAATATGTTGATAAGCACTTAGAATGTAGAACCACACATGGATGGGCGCTATATTATAGATAAGCTTCGATGTTATTATTTCTTTTTTTTTCTATAATTCCTTTTTTTAGTTTTATTATTGTTATCATTTCTTTTATTTTTTACAATTTTATAATCCCTTTTTAACTGTTTTATTATTGTTGCCATTTCTTTTATTTTTAAAAACTTTTAATTCGTTTTGTTTTTTTTATACTTTTTTATTGTTATCACTTTTTTAATCATTGGTTGTTTTTTTGGAAAGTGTTTTACTAGACTGCATTCTCAACTGCATAAGGTCATATGAGCACGCGGGATACATTAAACATATTCAGTTGGTAAGAAATTTTTTATTTTGCCCTGGTGGCAGCCAAAGTCTACTCTTATTGATATTAGACCACCAAGGGATCTTTAATATGCGCAACTTGCACACGGGACATCCGAGATTTTCCGCCCTTGTCCGAGAAGGCTAGGTGGGATCATTCCTACCAGAAGATCAGGGGTGTGGCTGAAAGACAGCAGTAAGAATGAGCCAAGGAGTATCACTAAAAAGGCTGCGGAAAGAGTCAGGACCCAGAGGAGGGGGCAAAGGATGTTTTAAATGAAATCGATAATAAAAAAGTCTGTGTTTTGGTTCTGCTTGATTTGTCAGCGGCGTTCGATACGATCGACCACGAAATTTTACTAGAGAGATTGGAAAAGTCATTTTTACTATCAGGTACTGTTCTAATGTGGTTTAAATCATATCTAGACAATAGATTTATGTCAGTGAAAATTGGCAATGATGTGTCAGATAGGTTACCTCTAAAATACGGAGTTCCTCAGGGTTCGGTCCTTGGTCCTGTCATCTTTACAATGTACACGCAAAGTCTGTCATCAATAATTTCTTTATATGCCCTCAATTACCATCTTTATGCAGACGATACACAGCTGTATGGATTCACTACAACTGACAATGTACACAATCTCATAGATAGAATCGCCAGATGTATCAATGATATAAGAAAATGGATGTTCAAGAACAAATTAAAATTAAATGAGGATAAGACCGAAATATTATTTCTTCGTAGCAGCGCATGCAATGAAATCGACAACATCAGAATAAACATCAATGGCCACGAAATATCAGCCCAAACTAAAATAAGAAATTTAGGTGTGGTGCTAGATCAAGATATGTCAATGAAATACCATGTATCCAATCTTTGTAAAAATCTATATCTCCAGCTGAAGAAAATAGGGAGCATTAGAAAATATCTATCTGTTGGTGTCACCAAAACTTTAATAACATCACTTATATTGTCAAGGATTGATTATTGCAATTCCTTACTGGCTGGTGTACCTGATGAACAGTTACAACAACTACAAAGAGTACAAAATATTGCTGCCAAAATAATTACTAAAAAACTAAAGCATGATCATGTGACTCCTATTTTAAAAGCATTACACTGGCTCCCAGTGAAAGAGCGTATCATATATAAAATCTGTTTAACTTGCTACAGGTGCTTAAATGATTTATCACTGGACTATCTAAAACAGCTTTTAATACCCTATGTGCCTCCTAGAACACTCAGATCATCTAGTGACAAAACAACCCTTGTTAAGCCTAAAATAAATTTCAAATCATATGACCAACGCTCTTTTTCATATTTTGCCCCACTTGTTTGGAATAGGTTTCCAAAAACTATCAGAGAAGCAGAAAATCTAGAAATTTTTAAGAAGAAACTAAAATCATTTCTATTTTCATCATATTTCGATTAGACAGAATGCATCCAAGCTGTAGATCGTTGTGAGTTTGTATGTGCGTATGTGCATATGTATGTATGTGTGTATGTGAGTATGTATATGTGTGTGGTGCGTGCGTGAGTGAATATGTGTTTGCATGAGTATGTAACACTTTGTATCTTTAAAATTGATTTGTAAATCCATTATATGTATCATGTTAAGCGCATAGAGCATTGCATAAGTGGATATGCGCTATATAAATGCAATCCATTATTATTATTAAAGGAGGTGAGGGGGTGCAAGCAGAAAGTGGAGACAAAAGCAGGTGACAGAACATTGCTAGAGAGCAGGAAAAGAGGTGAAAGGAGACAATTGTAGAGAAGAAAATTTTTCCGTCACGACCCGAATGAAAGACGAACACCTTAACCTCTAGGCCATGAGAGCCCCCAATTATTGTTTTTACTTTTTGAAAAGAATTCTTTCATTTATATAAGGCTTTATTATCAAATGAGCTTAAAATGAGATCGAAAAACCATTTCTAAAACGTCTTTGCTTCTTGTTGTCTGAACAGGCTTGCTGGGGTGGTGGCACTTTGCTGTCCAAGAAACACAGACATCTGATGGACGGCGTCCACCTGTAAGATCAATATTAGATGTAGTCAAAAAATAATGCCTGAGTCGTTTTTAGCCTTTCTGAGAAAATGAGAAAAAAAAGGTGTTTTTTTAAACAGCTGACTGCGAAAATCTTGAATTTTGGTATACTCAACTGATTTTATATTTGGATTATTCTTTTGTCCATGTCTATATTACCAAGCTGGCTTTGCTCTTCATTTCAGAACCAAAAACTCAATACCAGGCAAAAATGACTTGGGAATTATCTTATGAGTGTGATGATGTAATAATAATAATAATAACAAACAGCTTTTATTAAGAGCATAATAATAATAATAATAATAAATAGCATTTGTATAGCGCATATACCCGCTCAACAGCAGGCTCTATGCGCTTTACACTATATTATTACCCCAGCAGACCATAGAACACTCCAAAACATTCTCAGCTTCCCGGGAAGCATACAGTGCAAGCAACTGATTAAGCGCTCAAACACTAACAAGCTGACAAGATCTTTTGCTGTCTATAGCCGGGTACCCATTCCCACCTGGGTTAAGTGTGGAAAATTCGTGTAAAGTGCCTTTCCCAAGGACACAACGTCGGGCCCTTGACAGAATTCGAACCCACGATCTTACGGTTGCGAGTCCAAAAACTTAACGACTAGGCCACCGACGCCGAGCATAGCCTCGCTCAACAACAGTATCTTAGTTTTTGTACGGGTTTTAAGGCATTTGCAACACAATAAAGACTTATAAGAGAGTATAAAAAAGGAGAAATCAGGAAGATAGATATCTGATAGGAAAGAAGGAGTAAACCACAACCGGGGCACCTAGCAACCACTGGCACAGCTATATCTATGCACTTCACAATCTGTATTATCACTCTGAACTGACCCCAGAACACACTTAAACATTCTCAGCTTCCCGGGAAGCATACAGTGTAGGCAGCGGACTAAATGCTCAAGCACTAACAAACTAACAAGATCTTTCACCATCTATAGAAAGGTACCTGTAGTGTAGCAAGCGCTCTATACTGATTCATCACCTGGAAGCACTGAGGGTGCGCAGGAAAAACAAGTGAACCTGTTTGTGAGCAAAAAGGATTTGAATATACTATGGATTGTTTTTTAAGTTGATATTTTAATAGAGGGGGTTGGGAATACAATTTTTAGAGACAAGGTGTTTTAATGTCTTCTGATAATACTGATAATTGCTTTTAATAATTAAAATTCCTTTCGTATAGCGCATATTCAATCTCTACAAAATGCTCCATGTTCTTTTTTTCTTTCTTTCTTTCTTTTTTTTATCTGTTATCCTTATTCCTACTGATGTGACCTGCTCATTTCCAGTTTTGTCGGAGTTTAAATTTGACTTTTTTCTTTTTTTGAGTGTACAACTATTGTTCTTCTCAGCTTCTCTGGCAAAATGTGGTTTATTTTTTGCAACATCACCGTGAACTTTCCCACCCAGCTACAACTCTATTCACTTTTTGCTTGTTCCAGTCTCTGGTGTAATGGTTAGGCTCTTTTTTGTTGTACGCAGAAGAGATGAGTTTGTTTCCCAAATGAAGAGGTTTTTATTATTGAGCATCCCCGCCTGTCCGCTAGAACATTATATCCTTCTCACCCCTCATTGACCCCGACAGGCAAGATCGAAGTAGCTCTCCTCCTAAATTGTCAAAATAATTATTGTGTGGATGGGGGCATATAATATTTGCACTCTTTTTTTTTTCTCTCTGTGTGTTCAGATGTGACTCTGTGGCTTGGAACTTCCACAAGATTTACGGCACACCAGTCCAGTGCTCGGCACTGCTGATAAATGATCAGGTAGCGAACTTCTCTTTTTCATTTTTTGTTAAATTTTTATGGTGTCATTCTCTAAAAACCATTTGGCTCAGTCCTATCAGAGGTGGACGTTAAATTCGGAAATGAATGTTAAATTCAGAAGTTTCACCTTTTAAACTACCTATCAGCATTGAAAGGGGTATTAAAACTATTTAAATCTCTACAATGACTAATGTTCTGATAATGTAACTCGCTGAAATAGGTTAACTTGGGGGGAGGGGGGGGTGTTAAATGCAAGTGGATGATAAAACAGTATAAATGTACTGTGGGATAACTTTTATGTTTACCCTCATCATTTAAACAATAAAGATTTTTTTGTGTGTGTTGAAAGACTTTCAAGAAACCAGTGAGGCTGTTCGAACATAACCCATCAACATAGAGTACTTATATACATACATTGAAATTTCACTTGCAGGTGTTTTGAAAGCACCATAGGTAGGTCCCATTTCACATATGCACGTATACAAGCATGTTGGTCGGAACATAATATGTATGTATGTATGTATGAATACATGCATTTATACATCCTTATATATGCTCCTACCCACCTACCTACCTATCTACCCATCTACCTATCTACCTACCTTTATACCTTCCTATTTACATGTCTTTTTGAGTTGCCACTGGGTATGGGTTTTTATTAAGTTATATTTATAGATGTGAACCTTTGTGCGTACTCACATCTTATTTTTGTGTTCAATTATTTGCATCAGTCATGATTGCATTTGGGTCTTATAACTTTACATTTATTTGCATACATTTGATTTTTTAATGTTCAAGTCTTTGCTGTTTTTTGTTTTTTTGCGTGTGTGACTTTATTTCGTGTGTATCTTCATTTGTATATATATTTATGTAGGGTTATGTCTGTGTTTATGCATGCATAATATGTTTGTGTGGATAGTACATGATTTTCTAATTTTGACTGAAGACACAATGCAACAAGTGATGTGGTTTGTTCCTTTTTCCTGTTAAACCTGCACTGTCCTCATCTCTCGTCCTTCTTTTCTTTGTATGTTACACTTCTAATCTTTGGGTATCACCTATATTTGTTTGGCAAGTCCTTGTAGAACTCTTACTAAAACTAAAACTTAACTTAAGTTGTTTCGTTTTTCTGCACAGAAAATCTTATTAGATGCCAACAGCTCAAAGGCAGAGTACTTGTTCCAGCCGGATAAGTGCTATGATGTCTCCTACGATGTTGGTGAGAGAACCGCCCTTTTCTATGTCTGATGCAGGGTGCTTCAAAAAGGGTTTATGTGCAGTTTGTTGTTAACCCTTCAAAAAACTGCCTGTACTGGACAATTACTAAAGATAGTAAAAATGTGTCACAACGCGGTGGAATCAGGCGCTTGTCAATTTTGGGGCGTGTGGAGTTATTGGTATCTTCTTAAAGCTTTTTATTCGTCTAACTTTTTGTGAAAATATTATCTATTTTATCTTGAATAGAAGTCAAGATATGCGCAATTGAAGGATGTAGAGTCACCTGGTAAAATTAGTGAGAAAATGGCAGCCAAAGTTTGGTGACTTCCATAGCTTGAAAGTTCTTGGAAACTGAAAATTTACATTTTTTGTGCGTTTAATCAATGTTTTTCAGCAAAATCCACACAGAAATGTGTTTTTAAATTGGCACAAAAGGTGCTGTGCAAAAAAAAAAAAACATTTGAAAAAATTAGCCCAAAAGCCAGAAAAATCTTGGTTTCTTTGTTTTCATTATTTTGACAAGTGCCTGATTTCAAAACGATGCCTCACAAATAAACTAGAGCAGTGCTTGTTAACCTGGGTGGTGTCCCACACTCGTGGGCGATTTGGTGATTTTGGTGGGTGATGGGGATCGCTCCGGGGGTGGCATTATTTGCTGATGTGCGAGTGGGTGGTTGGTGGGTGCTCTAGTTTAACCCAAAAGGCCGTACCGGCCTATACAGGCCTTCTTGTCATGTTGCCATATTGGCTTTTACCAGCTTTTCCGCTGTAGAGCCTTACTAGCTGTTACCGGCCTGGCACACCCGCCTTTAGTTTTGGGTTGTTGCTGTTGTTTTCAAATCCCTTTAGCTGCGAGCATTTCACTCTTGGCAGCGCAATGCCTCCCTCAAGTAACCACAGGTCCTTGTCATCTGGTCAGCCCCAGAGTAGAGCAGGCTTTGTAAGTCTGTAGGTGTGTGTAGGAGCCTGCGTCGAAGAACTGCCAGGTTTGGGCAGTGAAGGAGAAGATGTTCAACGGTCTCCTCGTGGTAGTCACAGTGTCTGCAATGGGGTTCCCACATGGGGTTGATTCTATTTATGTGCTTGTTGGTGTGTAAGTGTCCTGTGCGGGCTCTGAAGATCAAAGTCTGATCAGGTCTACATAAGAGATTCGATTGGTCTTTGGGGTTGGGTTTGTCCATGTACCCGAAGAGAGATCTTCCTGTTTCTGCGTTGGCCCATCTCTTTAGCCACTCGTCTCTGCTTTTGGCTTGGATGATCCCTCTGCAGGCCTGTTAGTTTAGGGTCAAATAAGAACATTACACTCTAAATTTAGATGCTGACATCCTTCGTCTTTTAAAAATTTTATTGAAATACGTGGCTTAGATCAAAAGCAAAAGCAAAAGCAATTTCTTTGTGACACCAGGTGAATCTCTAAAAAAAACTCTGAAATAATTTTGTTCTTGGCTGCCATCGGCTGGCCACAATTTTGGTTCTGCTGTGCTGACCTGCCGACCTATTTATGGCGCTAAGAGGGTTAATGTGCTCCATCTATGTCTTTTATTAATAATTAAAATTTTTCCTGTAGATTACAATATGCATAGAGCTTGCTGTTGGTAAAATGTGGTTGTTTTTTGCGTGGGGCTAGCATGAGGCTAGAAGTGAAAAAACATCGAAGTCTATTGCTCACACATTTCCTGGAATTTTGGTGAAAGGAATAAACCAACTATGGGTGGTTGGAAAGTTCCACTACCAGCTCTTACTTCGTTTCTTTCTCTTTTTTGCTTCTATCTTACACATTCCTGTTCTAAATGCCAGTTATCATGTAAATGTGCTCTGTTTAATTCAAACTCAAATGATCCTACTGCAGTTCAGTAGACGATACAAGCCCTCTAGAGGTTGCAATCATGGACTTTTGTGTTCTGGAGTATGTGTAAGATGTCTCCTTAGGTATTTCGTCTTTCCCTTTTCTCTTTCTTCCTTCTTCTTTCGTTTTTAGTAGGTGGTTGGCAGGTGCTATATTGTGGTTTCCTCCTTCTTTCCTATCAAACATCTATCGTCCTTATCTCTCCTACTTCTTTTTGGTGTCTGTTACTCTCTTATTAAAATTCTAATCTTTGGCACTTATATGACCTAATTGTGTTGCAAGTGCTGTAAAACTCTTTCTAAAATACTAAAAATTCTCTCTTTCTCTCTTCTTCTTCCATTGTCTTCACTCTTTCCACAATTTCTATTGTGCTGCCTTCCAAATGATCCTTTTATGTTTAGAAAGGCTGGCTATTGCTACTGAAAAAACAAACTTTCATGGGAATGATTAAAAGACATCACTGGTAGCTTTCACTTCTTTTTATCACCAAATCACGTTTCTGTTAGTATTAAAATGTGCTCCTCTTTACTCTAAGCCAAAGACGGAGACAAATGACAACCTTAGAATAAAAGGGTTTTAACCCCACGAATCATAGTTTTGAGAAAATGGGATTTAAAGATTCATTCTCTTACAGCTAAAATGTTTTTCAGCTTATTTGTTAAGTGCTTAACTTTAAAAAAACACAGGTCATCTTGCTTCGAACCTTTGACACCCTGTTTTGGGCATCTATGTCAGAAATGTGTTGTGTGTAACTCAATTCTCGCACAAAGTGGAATTAAAACTCTGTCATTCTTTCAACTTGAAATGTCTACACCCCCTTCCCTCTTACCCTCTCCACCCCCACCCTCCTCCACCCCACCTCTACGCCCTCTTGGTACAGGTGACAAGACTGTCCAGTGTGGCCGGAAGGTGGACGTGGTCAAATTGTGGCTACAGTGGAAAGCCTTTGGTGACAGTGGCTTTGAGGCTAGAGTGGACCGAGCCTTTGACAATGTCAGGTAACTATCAAGATCCAGTCTATAGCCCAGAATGCAAACAAGACCAACAGTGAGGTGTGTCAGATTCTCCACACAAGACTAACCCTGCTTTAAAAAATTAAATATAGAAAAATACAATACTTTGGTCTCTTAAAACAACAGGCGACCAGTGTGAAAGAGGTACTTGAAGGAAGGATGTGGGGCAGGAGAGCTAGGGGTAAACAAAGAGCAACATAGATGGACAGCATTAAGACATGGACTGACCTGGATATATAGCAAAATGTGCTATGGCAGTTCACGGCCTTGAAGGATGGAGGGTCGTTACATGCCAACCTCTCGAGTGAGAGATGACCTCCAGGTTCCAGGTATAAGATGAGATGGGATCAGACACTCTTCAATTTTTGGCCATAGGAAATTATTGGTGCATGTATCATCTTTAAGTGTGTTCATTTGTCTTGCTTTTAATGAAAAAAAAAAAACCCTTGCGATATTGAATAGAATTCAAGATATTTGCAACTGAAAATGTTTGGGGGAGGGGGGTTATCCTGTGTCCGAGGTAAAATTAGAAAGAAGATGGCCACCAAAGTTTAATGACTTCCAAAGCTTTAGTGTCCTTGGAGACTGCAGATTTTTCTTCAACTTTGTTCAGTGAAATCCACACAGAAATCTGCTTTTGAAAAGGCATGAAAGGTGTTGAGTTTTGCTTTGTTTCTCATTACTTCTTGTTCCACCAAGTATCATGGCTCTCCTCCTCCAAAATCAATTCATTTTTTGTTTTGGTATTTGGGATTTTTTTTCCCCCATGTCTGTTCTCACAAACAGCATGATGCTTCACCTTCAAAATCATCTGTTTTCTTTGTTTGTTTGTTTGTTTGTTTATTTGTTTTGGTTCCGCGTCCCTTTTTGGGTGCCTCATAAATAATCATATTTAGATCTGACAGTTATTGACTATGAAAATATGAATTTAAAAATACAGCGATAATAATTTAAACACCAAGAGGAAGCAAGGAGTAGAATCATTAATATTTAGATCTCTTTATTTTTTGGTTCATGTAATTGATTTCTCCTTCAAAGGAGCTCTTTGTGTCTTTGAGTGTGTATGCAGAACTGTGATGAAAACTGACTGAAAACAGTCTAAAATTTTAGCTGTTAACTTTTTTTTTATTGGTTGGGTCTTCAGATATCTGCAGGAGAAAGTGAAGACAACTGAAGGCTTTAGGCTTATCATGCCAGAGGTAAGGAGTTTCCTAAAGTAGAAACGGTTTTTACAGCCACTGATTAAAGACAATAACCTGTTGTAACAGCCACCTGTATAAGGAGGTAAGGAGTTTCCTAAAGTAGAAACGGTTTTTACAGCCACTGATTAAAGACAATAACCTGTTGTAACAGCCACCTGTATAAGACAACAACCTTTTTCTAAGAACCACATGTATAAGACAATCTTCTGTACACATTGCCACATCCCATTTCCTCCCTTGCATTAAAAAAAAAAAACGTTAGATAGAAAGGATTTTTTAAAATGTAGTACGTCAGTGAAACAGACAGACCGACAGACAGACAGACAGATGGAGTGGGACAGAGGGGCAGGGAGAGAGAGTGATTTGTGCTTCTTTGGCTTTGTTAAAAAAAGAAAAGAAAAATTGCACATCTGAGACTCTCTCAGTCTGTGTCTGGGTCAGTCTCTCTGTTTATCTCTCTCTGCTTGTCTGACTCTCTCTCTATATTTTTTCTCTCTCTCTCTCTCTCTCTCTCTCTCTCTCTCTCTCTCTCTCTCTCTCTCTCTCTCTCTCTCTCTCTCTCTCTCTCTCTCTCTCTATCTATCTGTCTATCTATCTATCTATCTATCTATCTATCCCCCTCAAACCCACCCCCCTCCCTCACTCTCTCTCTCTCTCTCTCTCTCTCTCTCTCTCTCTCTCTCTCTCTCTCTCTCTCATATCTGTCGCCCCCCCCCCCCGCTGTGTGGGGGTCTCTGTTTTTTTTTTTTTTCTTTATATAAAAACAAAAACGAACATAAAATTTTGTAATGTGTTTATGATGGCCTTTTCCTTCTTTTCATCCCGCAAAAGTTTTATGTACCCCTGTTTTAATCCTTCCAAACCACTCCCCAAAGTGGGTGGTTGCGGGGTGCGGTGCTTTGGTGTGGGTTTCTTTTCCTTTCCTATTAAGCATCTACCATTCTGACCTCTTCTCCTTCTTTTTTTTTTTGTAACTCCTCTAATCTTTGGCGCTTATATGACCTTATTGTGTTGCAAGTGCTGTAAAACTCTTACTGAAACTGAAACAGATCACTCCCCCTCCATTCCAATTCCCAATGTCTCCCGTTCCCTTCCTTCTCCTCCCTAATGTCCCCCTCCCCCATCCCACTCCACCCCACCCTACCCCACCTTACCTCCTGCTCCTCCTAAAATGAAAACTAACCACTCCCCTCCCTTCCCCCCCCCCCCTTTCTCCTTGTGCCCCACAGTTCCAGTTTGTGAACGCCTGCTTCTGGTACATCCCGCCCAGACTGAGAGGTCAGGAGGAGACAAAGGAATGGTGGGCAGAGGTTGGAAAGGTAAGTTGAACCCTTTTAGCCCTGGCCTCTTCATCCTAAATTTACCCAAACCCTGGCTTCCTGATCCTAATTTTTTGAAAATCTAGGCCTCTTGATCATAATTTTACCCAATTACTGGATTCCTGATCCTAATGTTACCCAAATCTTGGCCTCCGGAATTTCTGGGTTCAGAGAGAGAGAGCGCTACATTGTCAAAAAGGTCAGTAAGTCAGCACAGAATATGATGAAAACATGTGTGAAAGGGGGCAGACGTGTTGGTATCCCATAATAGCATGTTGACAGAAACCGGTGTTCTAATTGGTTGACAACTGCTGTCTTTTTCTGCCTGATAATTGAGCGATCATTTCCTCACACTGGTGAGCCAGTGTTGCTGGTAAGTGTTGGGAAAGGCACCACCAGTGCACTTCGGGTACAGGCTCAAAATAATCAAACCAAGAGAAGTACATCTACACAGTAATGTTTATTTAACACAGAAAAATTCTTTTAAAAATAACCCCCATCCCTCCCCCATCACTCCCCCTCCCCCATC